AGGAAAAGGTTGGGCTGGGCCAAGACTGGGCCAGGCTAACTCATGGATTTTAAGTTTCACTCTTGCCAGACCAGTTTCGGGTTACTGGAAAAGACTTTGCTTCCGCTTTTCTGACACTGCCTAGCTGTACCCACCCTATTGGTTGATGGACCCTCAAGCTTGTAAGCAGCCCTATAAACCCTCACTCACACTTCCTGGCAGTGCTCAGAGCTTTGGAGTGTAAGCCTGTCTGAGCCCGCCGGCGTAATAAACCTGAGTGCTCCAACCCTCCAAGTGGTGCTTGTTTCTTGGCTGGCCTGTCATTTCCGTAACATGTGTGTGTTTGGGGATATTTAATATTTGCCAAATATACAGCCATAAAGAAATATAAAATAAAACATGTTCAGAAAGTGCATGCAAAGAAGAGGATCATTATAAACGAGCCTACTAATTACCCTTCTCATTTTGTTGCTGAAAGATCGGCCCCTGTCCCTGATGAGTCAAACTGAAACTCAAAGACAGTGTCTTAAGAGTGTGAAGGAAAAACAGGGCTGGTCTCACAAGATAACTCACAAGTCTAGGAATGCGAAGGAGAGGCTGGGCTGGTCTAACAAGATAACTCACAAATCTAAGTATTGGAATACTGATCTGAGTTCTGCTAGACTAACTTGTAAATCTAGGTTAATTAGTGTTGGTTTGCTGTTCATGTTTTCTGCTAGCCTGCTGGGTTTTCAAAGATACATATCTGGCTTTGGAATGTTGGTTTGCTGCCTCCCCGCCTCCACTTTTGTGATGATAATGCTGCTAAAGCTGTTCCATGCCTATTGGCCGAATACCCCAAGCTTGTACTTTACCCTATAAAACCTCACGTGCACATCTTGAAGGTGCTCAGAGCTTCGGAGCAGAAGTCCCTCTGAGCCCACCGGCGTAATACATCTGAGTACTCCAACCCTCCGAGTGGTGCTTGTTTCTTGACTGGCCTGTCATTTCCGTAACAAGAGCATAGAAGAAAATAGACAGCTTTATTGCTTTGCAGGGCAAAGGGGACTCACAACAGGCTAGTGCCTTCAAAACTGTGAACCCACCTTGGGGATGGGGCAGGGTGATTATGTAGCCATAGATGAAACAATAAAGCACCGATAACAATCAACAGAATTATTTTCTTGTCATAAGACTGAGAGTGGTGTCATGATGTCTCCAGGAGACCAATTCTGTAGAGGCCAGCAGTTGTCACTTTTTCAATCTCTTTATCTCCTAAGTACGCAAGGCGTGGTCTTCTTGGTAATTCAGGCTACTTTGTAAAGTTCCATGACCTTCTCCCTGGATAATAACCCAGGAGCCAAGTATGACTATTACTTTCAATTTACTGGAATAAAGCAGAAACAGTAATAGTAATAACTTTATTTTTACAACAGGCCTGGAGCTGTGAGTAGCAACCGGTCAGTCGGGTCAGGTGACCGTTTCAAGGGCAAGCATAAGAATGCACAATCAGTTAGCCTAAAGGCGGCCATTTTATTAATCCTCCTTCAGTTTGACCAGTGGTTCACATACATTTTTCACTTTGAATAACATACATCCATGCCTTACCTTCACCAATACCGAAGCAGCAATAATCAACATTATTTTAGCTCTAAGGTGCATCATCTCATTTCGACCTTATAGAAGCCCTTTTTTACAGATGAGTCAACTGAACCTCAAAAAGGAACCAACCTATCCAAGGTCACACAGCAAAGAGAGCCTGGAAGCCTGCTTTTTAATCCCCTTGTGCCCGGTAGTCTCCTGCCCACAGGCAGAAAAGATCTCGGCATTCTTCTGTTGAGTTCTACCTGCCTTATCTGCTTTTTCAGGCAAGCTTTCCTCAGGCTAAATCTAGCTCCTCCCAAGGCAAGATGAAGTATCTGATGCAGAGGACACAACAGGTCCAAACCAGTCAGCTCGGTGGTCACTCTGACCTTTTCTTTGCAAGAGGACTACCCGCTCCCCCTGGTTAAACAGAAACTTCCAGAGCGCCCTCCTACAGCGAAGGCCCAGAAGGTCAGCAGCTCTCCCTTTCCTCAGCCCTCCTCCCTCAGATGGCCGACCTTCTCGCTGGTACTACTTCTTTATAATATTGCAATATAAAAACAAAACCAAACATGAACCTTGGGTATGTCTCATCACCATGGAAACGACTGCAAGCCTGAGTGCCTCCAGGAGATGTGGGTGCTGCTCTTCCAGTGTCCATGGAAATAAGGGTCTGGGAACTGAACAGAGCTAAAACAAGCTCCTGTGGGATTAGTGGCAGTTTTGATAATAAACACCATGTTCAGCGTCAGATTATGTCATCAACAGCAGCAGCATCAACTTACATTTTCAACTTCCAACACCTTGCTGGCTCGGTATGGAGCATACCAGCCAAATGAACGCCAGCTCATACTATCCTACATTTGTGAAGGGATGTTTTAAACTCTATTAAGGTGGCTCAAAGAATGTGGTAGGGAAAAAAAAACATAAACAGTAGTAAATTTCGAGACATTCTGTAGATGCATTTTTGTTTCTGGGAATGGGAAACCAAAATTTTCCTGAGACTCCATTATTAAAGCCATAAATAAAACACCCCTGATTCAACTGCTTGGTTGCTGTGCTTGCATGGCTGAAGATCATATTTTATGATTACTTATGACTACAAATATGTTTTCTACTGTTGAGAATTTTTTGGTTCAAATCATTTGTTAGAAAACCATCGCCTTATATCATACTGTTTGAGAGGATGTCCATTTTATAGAGCAGGGATCCTACAGTCAAATCCATTGGGGTCCTTTGAGAACCTTTTATCTTTTTAGGGTAATTTTTGCTTTTATTTGCCAGTGTAACTTAACTATAGTGGCTTGCAAATTTTTGACCTAAAAAATACATTTTATATCATAATCCAACAAACACACACACATATATATATATGTATATTAACTGAAACCAAAGTTTTGCCAAAAATGTCTACCCTAACCCTGAGTTTTCTTGTTTTTAAGACTTCTTCTAGGTTTAGAACAAAACTGACAGGAAGGTACAGAAATGTCCCGTATACCCTCTCTCCACACACATGCATAGTCATTATTTTTATTTACCAGATTTGTACTTTTTTTTTTAACTAAGGATGAATGTACATTGACACGTCATAATCACTGAAGTCCACAGTCCACCTTAGTTTGGACTAAAGTATAATGACATAAGTCTTCATAGTTATAATGTTATACAAGGAATTTTCACTGCTCTGAAAAACGTCTCTATTCCACAATGGCATATGGAATCTCTTCGTTCCCTTGAAAAGAGGTTCAAAGCCTTCATGTCTATAAGACCACCCATGGCCTGCCCACCCATGCATGGACCAGACAGGCTCTAGGCAGCAAATCCCCCCACTAAATACTGTGGGTTTTCTTCCAATATTGAGCCTTGTGTCTCTGGTCCTGTCCAGCAGCCATGTGGAGGACACACATACACACACAGGTGGACACATGTAAGGTATCTGTTCATAGGATGGCCCCAAGTTTTTTGCCCCTTGTCACAATGAACCCAGATTCCTGTTGGGTGTGTTGTAAACAGGAAACTTTTAATCAAATCCCTTTACTGCAGATGAGTTTATGTGATTTACCTGAAATTGAACAGGTAATTAGTCAAGGTGTAGCTCCATGTTCTCATTTATTGGATGCAATATGTTCTTTTATTCTCTAATGATAATTTTTTCAAAGACGTTTTCTTTTCTTGATCTGGTTTCTGTATCTCCAGATTGCTTTTTCTGGTCTGTTTTGCTGTCTTCTATTTTAGAGGTCTTTCTCAGACATCTGGTACCTTGGTTGTGTGCTCATGATTAAGGGTGGGGGGCTCGCTGAGTGAGCTGGGAGGGGGCAGTGGCTCGTTGACTTTAAGATTCACTTTTGGGTGATCTGGGTAGACTGGGAATCCTCAGTATTGGTATCTTTTGTTATTTCCACTTGGGCCAGTCAAATTCCCCAGAAAAGTCTTCCTGACTCTAGCGTGGAGGAGAAAGTTCAGGGAGCAGACAGCAATACGACGGCCAAGAGTCTCCAGTTAGCATTGGTATGGCCTCTCAATCCCTTGGTGGTGGCGTGACACTCACACCTGCACATGTGCTTCTAGGTTTCCAGACCCCCAAATCTTCTGACTTTGTTGTGTGTGAGGGAGGAGTCTGGGGACCCAGCTAAAGCCTCTCTCTCTTTCGCCCACTCCCAGAGGTACCCGATGATGCCAATATGTGATCTTTTTCAAAGATCCTGTTGGAGAATTAGGATTGATCCTCAGATTCTCCCATGGCTGCTTAGCACTGAGTGTTCTCCGGGTCCTAGTGGAATTATGCCAAAAACGAATGCCCTACTTTACTTGCAGTTGAATTTCAGGAAGGCGTGGACTTTGACACATGTTCAGTTGTGACCCTGAAACTTACTCTTATTTTTGCCACTGTATTCTTTTCCAGTACAAGCCATACAAGTCAGATATCCTAATAATTCAAAGTATAACATCACTACTATTCACAGTTGAGTTCTTTATTTAAGAACATGTAAAGAGCGCCTCTCTGCCCGGCAGGACTGGGCCCTGGGGAGACAGCGAAGATTAAGACAAGTGAGGTCTTTGCTCCCACAGAGGTCATGGTTTACTGCGTATTCAATAGCAATTTCTCTTCAGCTTTACACTTGGCTTCAAGAGCTCCCTGTTGGCCAGCCAGGATTTCAACCCTCTGGCTTCATCTCCCTGTCCTTTCTACCCCCACTCTCTGGGGATCTGTGTGCTTTAAATACTCACAGGGTGAAGTGAGTTTCCCTCTTTAGGCCTGTGTCTGTTGCTGGCCAGCTGGCCCCATCCACCTATTCTTCCCCATCCAACCCTCTTCTCTCCATTTCTCTGTTGGCTCCTGAGTTTGTCAAAGAGGCTAAGGTGCATGTGAGGCTCCCTGAGCTGAATGTTCCTATTGAATGTACAGCCTGTACTCAGACTCTGACATGGAGTCTGACCCAGCCTCCTCTCTCTTGCAGGTCAGAGATGCTGTCATGATGGCTGGCGTCGCAGGCGTGGGCCTGGCAGCCTTGGGCTTCATTGGAGTCATGCTCTCAAGAAACAAGCGACAAAAGCAATGAGTTGAAGCGACTGTCTTGTCAGCAGTGATTTTATACATTAAGAGGGTGTCTGGTTCTGCTGGAGGGTGTGAAGTTTGGTTTGTAGGTTTCATTATTTTGTAACAAGTCTTATTTTCGTAGAATAAAATAAAGCCCAATAAGGGAGGATTTTATTGGGGGAAATGCAGCAAGAACTGCCTGGTGTGAAGTCTGTTGAGGGGCCAGCTAGGCTCTGTTCATGGTGATGCTAGGTTCTGCTCTGGAGCTTTGGTGGTTTTCTCGCACTTTCTCTTGGTGGGCTGTGTTCTTTTCATGCAGGAAACAGAGTCCAACTCCAGTTATAATAAGTGATGGGCATTTCTGGTTGTGAGGATACAGGAGGGCAGTAAGGGAGACAGACAAACCTGACTGATGCACAAGACCAGGAACCATCGGACACCTGGGACCCTTAGCCTGGAACTAGACCCAGGATGGCTTCTAGGACTCAGCAGCTGGAGTCAGGCGATGTTCAACAGAGTTCAAACCAAACCAAACCAAACCAAACCAAACTTCAGCGGTAAGGGAACAGTATATGCTCTTACCAATCTTGTTAAAACCTCCGTATCTCCCCCTGCTCTCCGCAGCTTTCCTCTGCCTTATGGCTTCCACCCCGCTGCGGCGTTCCTGCGGCCTCTCCACTCAGGCTTGTCATGACCCTCACTGGTCACTGACCCCACCCCTGCGCCCACGGCTTCCCTTCCCACATCCGCTCAGCTTCCTCCCTCCAGTGCAAGTTCCCAAGAGAGAATCTGATTGGCTCAGCTCACCACACATAGCTCAGGCTTCCGATTGATTGGCTGCCTTAGGGTCAGGTGGCACCACTAGGCCAATCAGCTCTGACCATTGGGACCAGGTCACATGGTAGGAGGTTGCCTCAGACCCTGAGGGATGATGATGTGGCTGTTCCCATGACCCACATCCCTGCTGCTTGAGCCCTCGAGGGAGGAGCTGAGGGGGAAGGCACGACCTTTTTGTGGTTGGTCCTTTGAGGTCTGCTGTTACTGCTTGCTAGGCTTGGCAGCATTTCTCTGAAAGGCTTTCATGGATTTCTCAGAAATGTACTGCTGGGGCCAGTTGTCTCTGTTCAGGGCAAAGCTTCTCCATCTGCTTGCAAATGTTTCCTTTCTCAGTCCTGATGTCTGGGGACCACCGGTCTGTTGGAATCGTGGACAACTTAACAAATGGCTACCAGCTCCCTCCTGCCTGACTCACATCTGGTCCAAGATAAGCATATGTCCATCCATGCCTCAGGATTGATACAAGAAAAGCTTTCTCCTGGTGTAGTTTCCTTTCTTTTTGTCTCAGCTCTATTGATGTAGCATCTCATGCCAGTTCTCAAGCTCCCCAAACCCAAGAGATCCAGGTGAAACTTAAAGGGTGGGTTTCTTGAAGCCCGTCTCTCTCATGTGGCATAAGGCGACGGGGACACACAGAGTATTAACTTCCAAACTAATTACAGAGAAAAAAGGAATGAGGAAAAATAAACACAAGAAAGCAAAACAGAAACACCCATTTTAATTAAAAAATAAAGAAACATTACATACAAAAAGTGGGATGGATAGAAATAACCTAAGAAAATGGAAGAACTAATTCCAAACATGTAGGTAATGACTGTAAATATGTACAGACTCAGCTTGCTGAGTAAAAGACAAACATCACACTGGATTAGAAAACTAGTCCGGGGAATACTGTTTACAGCAGATACACTTGAAATACAAGGACACAAAGACCAAAGTTAGAAAGTTGGACATTTTACACAATGACATGTCTGATGTCTTAAAAAGTTATTGTTATTAAGGAGAAGAATTGAGGGTGTGTATAAACTGTGTTGAAAGACATGTTGGAGACAAACTCCACTAAATGTGAGGAACAACTATACAAACAATTTGGATGATTGGGGAAATTTGAATATGGACTGGGTATTAAAGAATATTAAGGCATTACTAATTTTATTAAGGGTGATAATCGTATTGGGTTTATATAAAGCCACATGACCTAATTAAAAGAAAGATGCAGATAAGGCAAATATGACAAAACAGTAAGTTGTTACTAGATTAACAAATCTAGGCAGTGGGCATATGGGTGGCCATTGTACTAGTTTTTCTAGTACTTTCCATACCTTAAAAAATTTACATAGTAAACATCTTAAAAATAGCTGAAATTTGAACTTGAAAATTTAAATAAAATAAAACTTTTGAAACTACTTCAATAGATTATAGAATAATTTTTTAACTTAAAAGAAAAAAGATACACTAGGCAAATATTAACTAAAAACTTACAGTATACTTGTTAACTAAAAACGCATGTAACTATATATATATTTTTTAAACTTTTTTTTTTTAAATATAGCCAGTCGCGATGTGTCAGTCTCTGGTGTACAGCATAACGTCCCAGTCATTGTATAACTATATTGATATCAGAACATATAGGCTTCAAGCCAGAAATTATTACTAGATAGAAAGAGGATTAATAATGTGGCATAATATGAAATACATGTGGTCTTTGTCCTTGGTTCTTGGTCAGAGCTCCTAAAATCCTTGGAATTTCCTGAGTGACAGGAGTGTTTTTTGCTGTCCCTAACTGAGCCCCTTTGGATCAACCTGAGTTTGTGCTAAGGAGGTGACTGGGGGACCTTAAGATAGCCTTAGGGTGGGGCTGGTTATCAGAAAGATCAAGTGATTAGAGGGTTCACGTTCAGCCTACTGATCTCTAAGAAGGGGAGGTGGGGGTGGGGCAGGCAGCTGAAGCTTAATCTCCATAAAAACTCTTGAGCAAGAAGACTTGCCGAGCTTCCTGGGAGGTGAACCTATGGCGGTGCTGGGGGAGTGGCTGCCAGAAGAGGGCATGGAAGCTCTTGCATCCCTCTCCCCCGACACCTTGCCCTGTGCATCTCTTCTCTTTGTTCCTGAGCTGTATCCATTATAATAAACCGATAGACATAATTGAAATGCTTCCCCAAGTTCTGTGAGCTGTTCTAGTGAATTATTGAATCTTAGGAGGGGTTGTGGGAACCCCTGATGTTTTAGCCTGTCAACAGAAGTACAGGCGGCCTGGGACTTGCAAATGGTGAAAGATGTCTAAAGGTGGGGGGAGGGCAGTCTTGGGGGGCTGAGCACTTCAGCTGTGAGACCTGGCCCAACTCCTGGTAGTTAATGTCAAAACTGAATTGAATTGTTGAACATCCAGTTAGTGTCTGGAAAATCAGATAATTGGTTGCTTGGTGTTGGAAAACGCTCCAAGAAGGTTCTGATAAAAGTTTCATCTCATTAGGAAGATATAAAAATTCTAAAACTGTTTGCATCTAATAAGAGTCTTAAAAGAGATACTGAAAATTTGGCCAATTGCAAGGAGAAAATGACAAATTCACCATCATAGTGGGAGAGCTAGATATGCCTCTCTCAGGAACTAATAAATCGAGGAGACACAAAAGTCAGTGAAGATACAGAAAATTTGAAAAACTTACCAACAAGCTGCTTTAATGGACATGTATAGTAAAATCGTGAAATACAGATTCTTTCTGACCACGCACAAAGGAATGCTCTTAAAAACTGAACATATCCTGGGCCTTGAAGCAAGTCTCAACAAACTTCAAGGGACTGGTAACACAGAGATCATCTTTTCTGACCATAAATGCAATTAAGTTAGAAGTCAATAACAAAGAGATAGCTAGAAAAACCCTACGCTTTTAGACATTTTAGAACACACACTGTTAAATAAATTATGAGTCAAAGATGCAAATATAATGGAAACTAGAAAATATTTAGAACTGGATGATAATAAGAATACTAGATGCTGTATTGCAGCATCTAGTCATGCAGATAAAGGGATGCCTAGAAAGAAATTTGTAGCATGAATTCTTACATTAAGAAAGAAAAAGGTACAGACTAATGAGTTAATCATCCAATTTAAGAAGATAGAAAGAAAACATACAGATGGCCAACAGTTACATGAAAAGATGCTCAACGTGAATAATCTTCAGGAAAATGCAAATCAAACTACAGTGAGATATCACCTCACCACTATTATCAAAAAGACAAGAAATAACAACTGTTGGTGAGGATGCAGAGAAAAGAGAACCCCTGTCCACTGTCGATGGGAATGTAAATTGGTGCAGCCACTGTGGAAAGCAGCATGAAGTTTCCTCAAAATATTAAAAATAGAACTACCATACGATCCAGCAATTCCCATTCTGGGTATTTATCCAAAGAAAATGAAAAGATAAACTGAAAAGATACATGCACCCGCCATGTTCATCACAGCATTATTCACAATAGCCAAGATATGGAAACAACCTAAGTGTCCACCAGTGGAGAAATGGATAAAGAAATTGTGGTACATATATATAATGGAATATTACTTAGCCACAAAAAGAAATGAAATCTTGCCATTTGCAGCAGCATGAGTGGACCTTGAGGGCAATATGCTAAGTGAAATAAGTCAGACAGAGAAATAACAAATACTGTATAAGCTTACTTAGATGTAGACTCTTTAAAAAAATCATGCTCATAGATATAGAAAACATATTGGTGGTTGCTGGAGGTAGGGGTTGGGGGCAGATAAAGAGAGTCAAAAGATACAAACTTCCAGTTATAAAATAAATAAATTGTGGGGATGTAATGCACAACATGACTATAGTTAATAATAACTGTATTGCATATTTAAAAGTTGCTAGGAGAATAGATCTTAAAAGTTCTCAAGGAAAAAAGTTTTGTAATTATGTATGATGACAGATGTTAATTAGACTTACTGTGGTGATCATTTTGCAGTATAAGCAAATATCAAATCACTACATTGTACATGAAACTAATGTAATGTTATATATTAATTATACCTAAAAAAAAGACTGTAAAAAAAAGATAGAAAGAGATAAAAGAAAAGAAAGTAAAAAGATATGAACAAGAAGTGGGGAGGGTATAGCTCAGTGGTAGAGTGCATGCTTAGCATGCATGAGTTCCTGGGTTCAAGCCCCAGTACCTCCATTAAAAATAGATAAATAAACAAATAAACCTAACCACCCCTCCAAAAAAAGATACGAACAAAAACAAATGAAGCAAAATAAGCATATAAGAGAAAATGCACAAATCAATGTTTTTAGAAATAAAAAAGGCAATATGACTGCAGATGCTAAGGAGATCAAACAATAAGAAATATCAATAAATAACTTTATGACAATACACTAGAAGATTTGGATGGAATTGATACATTCCAAGAAAAACATGTTATCAAAATTGAACCAAGATAAGTAAAAACATTTAAGTAGTCCTATTACCTTTAAAGGGCAATAAATAAATCAATATATCATTAAAGGAATTAAATCAGTAGTCAGACATTTTCCCACAAAGAACTGGCATGCCAGGATGGCTTTATAAGTGAGTTTTACCAAACATTCAAGCAATACATGAATGAGCTCTCTATGGAGAAAATATTGAAGGACACTGAAGGAAACCTAATAATTGGGGAGAGATAAGTTATTCATGGATAGGAAACCTTATCATAAACATGTCAATTTCTTCTAAAATACATCTATAGATTTAATACAATTCCGAACCAAATCCCAACAGGGTCTTTCCTGAAATTTGCACCGAGATTCTAAGATGGATATGGAAAAAGTAAAGAGGCAGAGTTGGTTAGCTTTTTCATTATCAAGAAGAAACACCAGGCTATCAAATATCATGATTTATTATGTTATTATTGTGATCAAGAGAGTGCATTTTTGATGCAGGCATAGTTGAGCTGACTGTTGAACTGCCTATTCCGTTGAATAGAGAAGAACCTCTAAAGCAGACCCACAAGTACATGAAACTTTCATTTACAACAGAGGTGGCACTGCAGATCAGTGGGGAAGGATGAGCTACTCAGGGCTGGCAAACTGATTTTGTGAAGGTTCAGGTACTCAATACTTTCGGCTTTGTAGGCTTCACAGCACCATAACTATTCAACTCTTCTGTTGTAGCCTGAAAGCCACCATCTACAATACAAGTCTGTGTATTGTAATACGTTGTTGTGTATCTAATAAAACTTCATTTATAAAAGGGATAACTTTATGTATGCTGAGATTTAAATTTCATGTGCTTTTCATGGGTCATGAAATATTAGTCTTCTTTTGATTTTTTTTCAACCATCTAAAAATTCAAAAACCAGTCTTACCTATTGGACTGTATGAAAACAGGTCAAGGACTGGATTTGGCCTTTGGGCCATTGTTTGCTGATCCTCAACCAATGAATGGTACTCAAGCAACTGCATAATCATGTGGACTTTGCACTGCACAGAAAACAGCAGGTTGGGAAGGATTTTGGACTTAAATGTGAAAGGCAATGTATTTGTTGGGGTTCTCCAGGAGAACAGATCCAACAGGACATAGATAGATAGATGAAAGATAAATAGGCATAGAGGAGGTTTATTATAGGAATTGGCTCATGTGGTTATAGAGGCTGAGAACTCCTACCATCTGTCATCTGTAAGCAGAGAACAGAAAACTCATGATATAATTCAGTCCAAGACCGAAAGCCGCAGAACCAAGGGGGCCCATGGTCTAAGTCCTAGTCCATCCATGGCTGAAGGTTGTTGAATGCGGTGGGAGGAGCCCTGGTGGAAGTTCTGGGGTCTAAAGGCCAGAGAACCAGGAGCTCTGATGTCAGAGAGCAGGAAAAGATGGACCTCCCAGCTCGAGAAGAGAGAGATTGTTCTTTCTTGACCTTCTTTGCTCTATTTGGGCCCTCAGCAGATGGGATAATGCTCGCCAACCTAAATAAACCTAGGAGACAATAGGCAGAAAGCATTTATTTAGGATAAAAAAAATTTGCAATTTGGTGCACACAGATTCTGGTAGCAGCCTAAACAGTATCCAGCTAGAGAGTAAAAGTCAGGGGTTTTTAAAGGCAAAGAAGGGAGGTGCCCAACGTGACTGATTGCTAAGGTTATCACCAGAGTGAGGTCAAGGCCGTTGCTATGACAAATTGAACATGTTCTTGCAGAGTCATTGAAATATTTGTGGTTTGGCTCAGTTCAAAAGTTCATGGTTCCACCTTGGGAGGATGTGAGTAAGGTTCACTTCCTTAATGGCCTCCTGATTCAATTAAAAAAACCCTTGACAGAAACAACATTGTAAAATGATTATAAATCAATAAAAAATAGTTAAAAAAAAACCCTTGACATAAGTGACTCTATTTTATTTTACATTTCGCACTACTCACTTTGACGAGATCAAACATTTACTCAGTCTACTAATTCAAATGCTTAATCTCTTCTGGAAACACCATTACAGACATACCCAGGAATATTACACCAGCTCTGAGCATACCTTAACCCAGTCAAACTGAATTGAAATTAACCACCACAGGCAAAACTACAAAATTTTTAGAAAGAAATGCAGCAGAGTGTCTCTGTTCCCTTTCTGTAGTTCATAAGCACAAAAAAAATACAGAAAAAAAAAGTAAAGCACAAAAAGATAAATTTGGCTCCATCAAATAAGAGCCATAAAAAAATGAAAAGGCAGGCCAACACTTGAGAGAAGGTATTTGTAACACAAAAACTGAAAAAGGATTAGTATTCAGAATATATAAAAACTCATATAAATCAGTAAGGAAAAGGCATCCCCACAGAAAAGTGGACAAAAATATTAATGAGCCTTTCACAGAGAAGTGAATATGTTGTCAGAGAATAGGTTCTTGCCTTGCACAGGAAAGACTTCAAGAGTGAGCCATAGTAAAGTGAAAGTAGGTTTATTCAGGGAGATCCACACTCCACAGACAGAGTGCAGGCTGTGTCAGAAGGCAAGAGAGGTGGCCCCAGGGTACGGAATTGTTAGTTTTTAAGGACTGGGTAATTTCATATACTAACAAGTGGGAGGATTATTCCAGCTGTTTGGGGGAAGGGATGGGGATTTCCTGGAACTGGGCCCCATCCACTTTTGGCCTCTTATGGGCAGCTTGGAAACAGTCATGGTGCCTGCGGGTGTGTCATTTAGCATGTTAATATATTACAGTGAGCGTACAATGAGAATCAAGGTCTGCTGGAAGTTGAATCTTCTGCCATCTTGGCCTTAGTTGGTCCTAACCCATTTATGCTGTATCCTCAATGGCTATGTCATTCTTTTTTAAATTTTTAAATTTTTTGTTGGGGGTAGTTAGCGTTTATTTGTTTATTATTTTTTAATGGAGGTACTGGGGATTGAACCCAGGACCTTGTGAATGCTAAGCAGGCACTCTACCGCTGAGCTATACCCTCCTCCCTATGTCATTCTTTTGATGGTTGTGCCCTGCCCCCTTCCCTCCTGTCTCAAGTACAGGTGTTCAATAAACACATGAAAAAGTGGAGCACTTCATAAGTAATTACAGAAATGTGAATTAAAGGATCCTGTGGTACAGATTCCATGCTGACAAATATTTAAATGTTGGGCAATTGCAACTCTGGTATACTGCCAGTGGGAAGCCTATTTTTGCATTCTTTTTCTAGTAAAGCTGAAGAAGGTCATACCCTGCAACCCAGCAAGTCTGGTTTGTGACCCTTTAGTGAGTGATAACTTCCATTTAGTGGGTCACAGTCAATGTTGTAAAAATCATTCAAAGAGACAGAATAATAGAGAATAGGATTTTTTAGATCCTCATCTGGTTTATTGGTAATTTTTTTGTTAAGACTTATTGACCTACCTCAAATCTGTATATATCCTGATACATTGTAAAGTGTATTTCTTCCTGTGGGTCTTGGTCAAAAAGATGTGAAAGCCTCTGCTTAGAGGAGAGGCTCCAGGAGGCTTGGGTGAGGATGCTCACAGCAGTTTTGTCAGTAACAGCAACGTCCTGGGAACACCCACAATGTCCATTGAAAGGAGACAGAGTAATTAACTGCGCTACATTCTACAGTGGGAATACTGTGAACATGACTGAACAGTGGCTACAATCCATCAGCCTGGAACCTGATCCTGAACCAAAATAATTAAGTTAGAATGTATGGTGTTTGAGTCTGTTTTTCCCAAATTAAAAAATGTATTGTTGAGGGATACTTATTTATGTGTAAAGTTTTTAAAAAAGCAAGACATTAATAGGCACAAAATCCAGGAGAGTGGCTACAACAGGATTAGGAGGGAGAGGAACATGGGGGTTAATTTTTCTCATAACAGCTTTATTAAAATATAATACACATACCATAGTGTTCACCCATTGAAAGTGTACAATTCAGTGGTTTTTAGTATATTCCAGAGTTGGGAAAGCATCATCATAATTTTAGAACACTTTCAACCACTTCAAAAAGAAGTACCACAGCCTTTAGCTATCATCCTGCAGTGCTGCCTACATCCTTCGTCCTAAACAATCAGTAATCTACTTTTTGTCTCTGTATATTTGTCTATTCTGGACATTACATTTGAATAGAATCTTATAATATGTGGCATTTGTGAAAAATATGTGCAAGATCTGTAAGCTGAAACTTACAAAGATTTGCTGAGAGAAATTAAGGAAGACCCAAATAAATAGAACACCTGATCATTGGTCAGAAGATTCAGTATTGTGAAGATGCCTAATCTCTAAAAGATTTGATGTGATTCCAATCAAAATCTCAGCAGGCTTTTTGTAGAATCTAGGATAGACAAAAGAACTTTGAAAAAGAAGAACAAAGTTGGAGGGCCAACATTCTTGATTTCAAGAGTTACTATAAACTATAGTAATCAGGATAGTGTGGTATTGGCCTCACAACAGACAAATAGGATCAATGGAACAAAACAGCCCAGAAAAGGACCCACAGGTACCATGGATAACTGGTTTTTTACAAGGTTCAAAGGCAACTCAGTGGGAAAAGGATAGTTTTTTCAACAAGTCATTTTGGAACAGGATATCCACAAGGGGGAAAAAACAAGCCAACATTGACCTATTCATTGTACCATATACAAAAATTAACTCAAGATGTATCAAAGATGTAAATGTAAAATGTAAAAACTAAAACTTTATAATATCTAGTAGAAAACAGTAGAAAATCTTTGTGACCTTGGTTTAGGCAAAGAGATCTCAGATACAGCACCAAAAGAACAATTCATAGAAGAAAAACATAAATTGGACTTCATCAAAGTTAACAGCTTTTTTTTCTTCAAAAGATATTATTGCTAAGTAAATGAAAACACAAACTACAGACTGAGAGAAAAATGTTGCAAGTACTATTGAACTACTGTATACAACTACTGATGAAGTACTTGTATACAGAATTTCTGAAGAACTCTCAAACATGTACACCAAGAGAAAAAATGAGGAAAAAAATTAGACACTTCATTAAAGAATATATATATGTGTGTGTGTATATATATGTGTGTGTGTACATATGTGTGTGTGTTTGTGTATATATAAATATATGGAAGACAAGTAATGTTCAACATTGTTAGGGAAATGCAAAGTGAAACCACAATGAGATACCTACATATCTATTAAGATAGCTAAAATTAAAGAGATCAACCATACCAGATGCTGATGAAGACGTGGAGGAACTGGAACTCTCCCACACTGCTGGTGGGAATGTAAAACGGCACAACCGCTTTGGAAAACAGTAAGTTAAACACGCATCTACTATATGATCTATCTACTATATTCCTAGGTATTTACCCAAAAGAAACGTATGTCTCAACAAAGGCTTGTACACAAATGTTCATAGCAGCTTCATTTGTAACAGCCAGACACTGGAAACAACCCAAATGCCCATCAACAGGTGAATGGCTAAACAAATAGTAGCATATCCGGATATACAGTGGAATACTGCTCAGTAACAAAAAGGAATAAATTGTTGATAACATGCAACAATGTGCACATAACTCAAAATAATTATGTGAAATTATGTGAAAGGAGACCCACCAAAAAGCACATACAGGAGTTGGGGGAGGTATGGCTCAGTGGTAGCATGCATGCTTGACGTGCGCAAGGTCCTGGGTTCAATCCCCAGTGCCTCTGTTAGGTGCGGGGAAATTTGTTTAAAAAAACGAGTTCATACAACATGATTCCATGTGTATAAGTCTTTAGTAAGCACAAACTAGCACATAATGACAGAAAGCAGATCAAGTCATTGCTTGGGGATGGAAGTGGAAAGGGGGAGGGATTTACAGAGGGGAACAAAGAAAGCTTCAAGAATGATGGAGGTGTTCATTATCTTGACTGGTGTTTTCATGGGTGTATACGTATGTCAAAACATATCCTACTGTACATTCTGAAGATAATGCAATTTATTGTACGTCAGTTATACCTCAGTAAAGCTCAATAAACAGCTCTATAAAGCTGTGTTTAAACAATTAAAAAGGCGTAAGCAACATCCCAAATCAGTGTACAATTCTACCCGCCACATTGTATGTAGGTAAGTCACCAAGAAACGGACGGTGTTCCCGGTCTGAGAATTCTCGCGATACCCACCTCCGCGGCTCGTTTTGTTAACCTGCCTGCACTGCCAGACTTCGGGGTCGAGTTCCACTCTGCTCTCGTCTGCTTGGGCGTGGGCTCCAGGTTAACCATAGGCTTCTCCCTACATAAAGTTTGGGATCATAGAGTTAAAATACTTTTTAATTGAAGTACAGTTGATTTAAACTGTTGCATTAGCTTCTGGTGTATAGCATGGATGGACTTGGAGGGCATTATGCTAAGCAAAGTAAGTCAGATAAAGACAAATACTGTAAGATAGCACTTACATGTGGAATCTAAAAAAATACAGCAAACTAGTGAATATAACAGAAAAGAAACAGACTCAAAGATGTAGAGAAGGAACTAGTGGTTACCAGTGGGGAGAGGGAAAGGGGCGGGGCAGAATGGAGGTGGAGGATTAAGAGGTACAAATTATCAGGTATAAAATAAGCTACAAGGATGGACTGCACAACATGGGGAGTATAGCCAATATTTCAGGATAACTATAAACGGAATACAACCTTTAAACACTGAATTACTGTGTTGTATACCTATCACATAATACTGTACATCAAATATATTTCAATTTTTAAAAATGATACTGTAAAATAAATACATAAATAAAATTTGAAAATAAAAAAATATATATTGTAAGCACCCTTGTAAAGTGATTCTGTTCTGAGGAGCTGGACAATGGCCCTGTGGCTAGACACTGCTACAAGGCAGCCTCCCACCAGCCCTTCCCAGGCTTGGTCTCCAGCTGTTACTACCAGGAGGAGCACACCAGCTTTCTGCCGACTGGTTCGTAGTAGGCTGGTTCACACAGAAACTAACCCAGGATTTGTTTTACAGAATTGCCATCAAAGTTGGTTCTTCAAAAGGCTTCTAACCACCCCAAAGCTCAGTCCTTCCATACAAAGAAAGAATCTTACCCTTGCTGGATGCTGCTTCTGCTCTGTTCTAACGTGCCCGGCTGTGGCTGCTTGGGCATGAGCTGGACCAACGCGTGAGAGCCCATAGAGTCTTCTGATTCAAGAGGAAAAAAAAAGTTGTTTAAACCACAATTTCCTTCTCTGGAGTGTGAACCCTGTGAAAGGAGAGTTGGAGCGAGCACCTCAACAGCTCTGCGAAGGTGGGAGCTCCTGTCTACAACCGAACGTGGCTCCTGATCAGCCCTCAATAAACTTTTGGATGAAGGGGGGCTCTGGGGGTGCGACCATTCTGGAGGGGGCCCAGTTCCTGTGGGAAAGAGAGACTCTGGAATTCCCAGAGACATAACAGGGGAGGGGACGAAGTGTGAGTTGCCACTACCGAAGATGGCAGAACCCTGGGGCTACACCCAACTGCAGAAGCTTCTGCCGAGCTAGAGCTGTTGTTAAGCCTACCTGCCCCGCAGCTGCCACGTCTGCCCCACGTCCACCCGAAATACACTGGGAAGGCAAATACCCGAGAGTCACTGGATGCCTGGCTCGCTTCAGTTAAATTAATAACGAAAGCTCATTCCGAAATCGTCACTCATTTCGGCTACAGGCATTTCGCACAATGAACAAGTATCTGCAAGGAGGGTTGAAAGAAACTGTGGTGACCTTGCTGGGGGTCCGATGGCCGGCTGGGACAGGGGGAACGATCCCGGGGGGGTCCCAGGCCGGGGCGTGCTGGCTCGGTGGAGGGGAGCCTCATTCCTGCGGCGACCCGACTGGGGCACAGCTGCATGTCCCGGAGCAGGCTGGCTGTCATTTGGCCGTATACTCGCGGTTCTCGACGCGGCTTTGAGGCGGGGCCGGGGGAACCTAGGGAAGCGGCGCCCGCAACCGCCCCCGGCGGCGGGGCTCAGGCCCATCCCGCTGCTG